TCAAAGATTTGATAACTGTAAATTTGAATTTGTCTGGAATTGGAAAATATAACTGGTTATTTGATCAGTTTAATGATGAGATAAAAGTAATTTAATTTATTAATCCATCGATAAAACACTACACTACATGGTTAATGTGTTGGGTGATAAAAGCTATTGGAGGAAGTCGAAGCAATAATAAAAGAACATAAGAGTGGAAGAAGCTACTATTATACGGAGCTCTTTTCTTTCTATTTGCAGGAAAAATGGTAACATTGATATGGCTGAATGAGTAGTAAAGTGTTTGATAAAATTAGATCTAGATGAAACTTGTGTTTATGTGCACATATCTAATGCTTGTAATTTATGGAGGGTTGAATAGAGTGTTTTATGAAAGAAACAAGTAAAGAAAGAAGTACGGTGCAGCTTGATGGAGGTAGATTCTCAGAACATCAGCAACAAATTCAGTGTCATGTATTATCTAAATCTTATGCTGGTGGACGAAGAGGATCGTTGTTACTTCAAGCAGCAGAAAATGCGTTGTACATGTTCAAAGAAGAGACATTTGGATGTTTACAGAAAGAAAATAACATACGAGAAATAATCAATATTAAAATTTTAAAATATGTAGCGGTTGATTTTACCGTTAAAACACTGTTTGGATTATATGTTAATAGCCATTTTCACAAAATTCAAATAAATGAGATAACAAAAATAATTTAGTTTTAACTAAGAAATTGAATTTATTTTTGTTCAGTATGTTACCAAATTATATGTATTAAATTTTAAATTTAAAGTCAACAGAAACAATACAAGAAATTGTAAATTTATCTAATAACTTATGTAGTATATTCAATATCAGTGTAAAATATATAGTCAAATATACTTTATAATAAAATAAATTAATATAAAGATAAAAACCGGGTGTAGCTCGGAATAATCTCTAGTTTAACTATTTTTTTTTAATTTGTGTGAATAACTATAGAACAACAACTAATTTAAAACTAAAGTAGTATATAAAGGATTCAAAATATAATGGGGCTGATAACAAGCTAGCAGCAATACATACAACTTAAATTGAAAAATATATTTAGATTGACGGTTAACTTTATAGCGACAATTAAATCGATGTTAAAAGTTAAAACGATTAATTCAGGTAAATAAATGGTTTTTTCTCCTTAAATGATAAAACGTTAAAAATACAAGAAATAAGAAAACTAATATGGATAAAAAGAAGAAAAAGAAAGAAAACTAAAAGGAATATGTAAGAGCACCCGCAATAATGGTCCTTAAGGAAAAATATTTAAGAAAAAAATAATTAAATAATCAGTAGACTCCACAAAAAGTTAAGAATTTATTCTTAAAAATTTCTAAATAAAGATTGTTTTTAGTGAATCCTTGCACTATTTGCGGGCCTCCACGACACATGTTGGTCCGCGATTGGTTGATATTTTTTTTTTAAAAAATTAATCTAGAAAGTAAAGAAAAAGTAATAATTAAAAAATTAAAAAAAAAACAGAAAAAAGGACATAAATTTGTGAATATAAAAAGTTTGTAAATGCAATGGATACTAGAGGCACAGAGAGATCTGGGGAAGGCCAATCTTTAGCCCAAGTATGATTAATACAAATATTCTTTTGAGAGGCTTCAATCTAACCCCACGCATATCTTTTAGGCGTGAAGACCACTGCTATAAAAGACTGTCAGAGGCGCGTGGTACTAAATCTTTACTGTCTTAACGCAAATCTTAAATAAGATTTTCTCGCCAGATATTATTATTTATCCATCAAACTAGGTGTAACGTGTTCTCGTCACGTACTACACGTGTCATAATATAATTTGATATTATCCATAATGAATTGCTCGTAATTACACAATAGGCTAGGGCTTTTTAAGCTCTCGAAGTCCAACTAGCCGTCCATTCTATATCCAACGGTTGATATTAATTAAAAGAAATTAAAATGAGAAAATAGCAAAAGGGTAAAAATAAGAAGAAAAAATGGGCTAAAGAAGGTGCGTTAGTAGCAGTAAAGATCAGAGAGGGTAAGAACTAAGCAGTTTCTTCTCTTGTTTGTGTGTTTAGAGTTCAAAGGATAGATAGAACAAAAAGGCTTGAGAGAGAACAAATAAAAGACAGTGATCGATCTTCTGGTCTCATCGACCATTTTATTTAAAATAAAAAAACTTCGCAAAATCTACACACTTCCTTGAGTTTGAATCTATCTATACAGATTCAAAGTTCTGTCTTTGGTTTCATGAAGTTTCACTCTTGTAAGTGTTCTCTTATCATTCTTGATTGTCTTGCCTAGAGTCTAGAGAAAACAATGGTGGATTTGGGTTTCTAGAAATTTTGAAGAATGATTCTTCTGTTGTTAACACTCTTTTTTCTTATTAATCTTTTCTTATACTGTTTTGGATATTGAAGAATCGATTCTGGTATTGTGGTAGCCAAAGCCGCTGAATTTAAGTTGCAGATCTTGAGGTTAGTGGATTGATCTTTTCTTATCTCTGGTTTATTTCAATTTAATAGATGGAAGGATCTTTTCTTCTCCCCTTTTGTGTGCATTTATTCTATAAAATGGCTGAAACTTTCTTAGTCTGGATGTGAGCTTTGTTGTCTAGATGAATGTTTGATGTCTGAGTATATATGTCTTTGTTGGGTTGTGTAAGGTGTAAATGGAAGAAGTGAAGGGACAAAGAGGAAGTGGAACCACAGAGGCAGATTTTGTGTTGCAATGGGGAGAGAGAAAAAGAGTTAGATGCATGAAAGTGAAGAAAGATCAAAGCCTTAGAGATGGCAAGTCATCTGCTTCTTTGCCTAAGCGCAAACTCATGCCCCGAGCTGTGTCTTCTGAGAGAGGCTCACCTTCTCGCCATCTTAACCGTCCAAACAAGTAAAACCTGATTCAGAGCTGTTCTCTCTGGGAGTGATTTTTTCTTTAGTTTTCTAATGTTGTTATGTCTATTTGGTGATAGGATGGTAGATTCTCCAGGTAATGTTAGGAGATCGTTTGTGGCATCCCCTGAGAAGGAAGATAGATACTACACAACGAGGGGTTCTATGGGTGGTACAGATGAGAATGGAAAAACTATAAGGGAACCTGTGAAGGAAAACAAGAAGCATGTGTGGCCAAAGTTGTTTATAACTTTGTCAAATAAGGAGAAGGAAGAAGATTTCTTGGCTATGAAAGGGTGCAAGCTTCCTCAAAGACCCAAGAAACGACCCAAATTGATTCAGAAAACATTGCTTGTGAGCCCCTTCATCATTTGTGTTTCTTCAATACTGTCTCATATTGATCCAAATCTCATGAGCATGTAATTTTGTACGCAGCTGGTGAGTCCAGGTACTTGGTTATCAGATCTGGGCAAAGAGAGGTATGAAGTAAGAGAGAAGAAGACTTCAAAGAAGGTACCTCATTGTTTTTATTTGTCTCTTTCTACAGTAGATAGTGAGTAGTACACTTAGTTTCTCTGTGGATGGAAAGATAATGTTATGTTTCTATGAAGCGACCAAGAGGATTGAAGGCAATGGGTAGCATGGACAGCGATTCAGAGTGAAGAACAGCCGAACAAAGGTGGCTTAAGAAATATTCAAGATTGTTGAAGGCTAGAAAGGAGACAATGCACAAGATTCTGTTTTTGTTTATTTCGTTACATTTTCAGATGCCTCTGTTCTTCTTCACAGGTCACTTGTATTTTTGTTGATGTTTTGCTTTCGAAGCCAATCTATTAGTCTCATTTTATCAGCCTTTTTGTTGTTGAACTTGTTGATTCTGCAGTTATTTCATGCATCCCAAGAGTTACATGATGAGAAAATGTTCTTGGAGGAAATGGATGAGTTAACAGTGTAATGAGACCTCCAAACACAGATCAAGAAAGAGATTACATATTTTATTATATTGGAAACGAAATATGAGAAAAGATTGTGTCTGAATATTATTACAACACATCAACCAAAACTGGAGCTACCACCACCAACTCATTTACCTAACTTGTAACAGGTCTCCTACTACCTTTGTTTTCTCAGTTACCAAGTAGTTATTCTACATAAATCTGTACCTGTCACACTACTTACAAATGGAAACATGATGCGTGAGCCATGCCTGCAAAGAGCTTCCTCCAGTGAATTTCATCCTCTCTGGAAACAAATAAAACCTTTCAATCCAAGATCCACCAGACAACGGCCAGCTACCAGATCAGATGCTGTTAAGGGGGAGTCAAGCCTGAGTATTTTCGGGAGCAATCCATGCAGAAAGATTAAGAAACTTACCTTCTCTAATGTTGCGCTGATTGCGAGTAAACAAGTCCATAACGTAGAGAAACTGAGCCATCTGGTTCCTTGAACAACACAAGCACTTGGAAAATAAATTTTCATGGCAACTTGGCAAGCCAGTTGGTGAGAAGGAAGGAGAGAGCCATCTGCCTATAAGGGAACTACAGAGCTTCAAGGACAATGGAGGCTTTTGTGAAGACTGAAAGAACAAAAGATGCTTCTTCCCCTGGGTGTATGTATAGTGGTCGGGACAATGGTATAGCCCTTAAAATCAGGATTCAGGATCAAGACCCATTTCGCAGGATATCTCCCGGGAATTGACATAGTCTTTTCCACCAACAGATTCATGAAGAAATATGTTCCAAGCAGCACGACGTCCACGATTTTTAAGAATTCTCATTCCAAATATAGTATTCCTTACCATTCCTTTCCTCAAGTATAAGTTGGACCATGTATATGGTATACTGTAAGATTCATAGAAACTTTATTTTTCGTTTCCTATGCTGTGGAACTGAAAAAGTAGAAAAGGAAAGATATCATTCACCCATATGCAAAAGATCATCCTCCAAAGGTTCAGTTCATGTCATCACCAACTAAAAATGTTTCTGCAGTCCATGAACACCTTTAGACTCATATAACAACAAAAAGCAATTGAGTATTCTCCCTTATTGTCAAAAAGGGAAATGGAGAGTTGCTATGGGAAATATTCAGACAAAAGTTATTTAACTTTTTGTGAAACTCTTGATAAGAGGGAGAGTGAGAGATTCATTCACTTAATTAAGCAAATTACACAATACTAGGACACAAAGTAAGCTTTCATCAAAGGTCAAAGTTTTCAGAGAAACTTAAGCCACATCTTCCTCTTCCCCATCTACTTACATGGAGAAGAAGAAACCAAACAACCCCTAAACTAAAACTAACCATTACATAACTTTTACCATCTCTAAAACTACCCAAGAAGGTGCATTAACTGTGTGTAGAAAGAAACATGGTGAACTCACACGACAACAGATCCCAAGAGACGAGCCAGTACAAGGTGCCTAGTTTATGGACAGTTCTCGTTTTTACCAGGACCTCCATAGTAGAAGTAATGACCCCAATCATCATTGTTTCCGGGTTGCACATCGTAACAGTTAGACTGTTCAGTGAATGTTCCAAGTCCTTTAGGTGCCTTGAGGTTGTTTGAAGAATCAACCACCTGAATGTTCCTGAAGTAACTTGCTTTGCTGAAGCCTTCTTCTGGGAACCTACCACTGCCCATTTGTGTTGAAGTGTGGTGGCCATCTGCTTGTGAGTTGACCACTTCTCCTCCCCATTCAATCATCGAAGCACTTTCAGTTAAGTAGGAGAAGAGAAAAGATGGCCAATATCCTAGAACATTGCCGTTTCCAAATTGCATCCACCAGTGTCCCTCTTTTGGATCCTGTGACAAAAGTTAACAGACCATTTCCACATGAATTAATATAGAAACATTTCAGCTTTTTTTCTTCTTTTGGGTTGCCTTTAAGCTTATCTCTTTATGGTTTAATATACCTTCCATATCAGAATACTGATATCATACTGCGAATTACGATATCCAGAGACTGGGGAGATGCTTGCTCCCATTGCTATGTCGCTGTTGATCTGAATAAAACCTGAGCAAAGAAGATTGTAGCAACCGGTAGCTTGATATGCATCACTCTGCATATAGTTTGGGGTAAGAAATGTAAGCAAATATACATAAGCACATGACCATAAGAATTTAATTAGAGGGTGGTTTCAGGGACTTACAGTCCAGTAAGTGAAGAGTCTCGTGTTATTGTCACCATAGAGATCTGGGCTCACCTATAGTAAAGCAACACAAATCAATGTACCGAACATGAAAAACAAATCATATTCACATTCCCCAAATGTTCACTGAGCTTACCTGCCAACCAGCTTCGATGCTGTTAAGATCTTGTCCGAAAGAGCCCCCAAGAAGCCATATCTGCGACAAGCTGAACTCGTTCTGCTGCTGTATCTTTGGCTCCCACACATTTATAGTCGCTTTGGCTCCATAGTACTTATCTCCTTCCACATAAGCTATGGCATGCTGCAATTCAAGAGAAAAATAACATATTTCAGATCAAGAAACAAAAAAAAAAAGAAAGTCTTACACAAGCACACTTGACTCACCTGGTGACCACTTTGGTTAATGAGGTCAGGTTCTGCAGATTTAGGTAAAGGAACAGTTCTATGCTTCTTCTTGCCATATCTTTTGACTGAGCTTGCTCTCAAAACATCAACTTCTTTAGTCCTCCTCATGGGAATGGTTCCTTCCTCGCATTTACCATATCGATGCCATAACTGAGGGATATGCGTTTCCTTGTCTTCAGATCTAGTAGAAGACACTTTGTTGTCATCAAAGAGTCCTTCAGGATGGTAATTAGGCTTCATCTAAAGGAAGTAACTTTAAACATCAGCACTTATAACACACACAAGGCCCAAATAAAATTCTATAGAAGTTTCGTAACCTGAATCTTGTGATCTTTGAGGTAAGGATGATCAAAAGCTGGTTGCTTTGTGATAGGAACACAGTCAATTATATCACCATCTGGGCTCTGTTTAACAAACACATTCAATGTAAGAAACTTTCAGTCAGAACACACAAAAAAAAAAAACCTAAATTCGAGTAGCATTTAACTGTAATGTGACAATATAACTTTTCATGAGATCTCTAGACATTGTTTACTTATTCACCAAAAAACAAAAAAGTGAAACAAATTATCATTATGTGCAGTGTAGTAGGAGGAGAGAGAAATCAGGAATCATCATCAGATTAAAACGATATTTACAAAATCAATCCAATAAGAAGAAAGAGATTTTGTCTTACCTGAATGCTCTTGACAGCAAGTTTGTTTAACCTCTTCAAATGCTTCTTTACTTCGAACTTCTGCTTAGATACGCCGGACCTTGCGGCGTATGATAGCGAGATGAAACTCCACAAGCACAAACACACCAAGAAACCTCTAGCTAGCTTCTCCTTGCTCAGATGCACCCCTCCCATTGTCGCCGGAAAACACTAAAAACCTTTGAGCTTTAGTCAAAAAAGTTACACAACAGACTCTCGAGCTTCGGAACCCTAACGAAGAGAAGAACAGAGGAGCTGAAGGGAATGAACAATGTCGTTCACGGGGACAAAAGTCTTTGGAGGTGGTGGGGTCTCGTTTCGTTCTCGCTAGAATCCAACCACACCGGCTCAAAATCCAAAATTTCCTACTTCTCTCTCTCACCCTCTCTAAAACTCAATACAAAAAGCTTCCGTTTCTCTCTTATTTTTATTTATTTTTTTATCTTTCTCTAGAATAAAAGTTATTTTTGGGTTCACAAACTATAGTGAACTAAATAAGATTTTGTTTTCTTTTTAAAAAATTATCGAATATGAAATAGTAAACTATCCAATCCAAAAATAAATCCTCTAGAAGTATTTTAAAAATAAATATTTAATACTCTCTTTATCACCTTTATTACACTTTTTTCTCTTTTTAAATACAGAAAATATATTCTTCAAGAAAGAAAAAAATACAGTTGAATAATGAATATAGTCATTTGATACTGAAAATGAAAGGAACCAAATTAATTGAAAGGGAAATAAACACAATATAAATATATAAAATTATTTAATAAAATGGTAATAATATAATTAAAGGAATCTGGTGGAAAGTCCAATATAATTTTGGCAAAAAAGACAAAGTGAAATGATCAGAAAGGATCAGAGCCAGCTTGGCGTTTTCATCCACGGTTAATCATAATAAATTTTAAAATTCAACGTTATCACTAATCACTAAGACAAATATTCTTATTATGCTCTAATCATGTTCCCATGTTGCTCTTGCATTATTCTTTGATCTTCTATATAATTAATACTAAGTTTTAAACGACCCATGTTAGTAATTGATAGTATAATCTACCTCAATTTGTACTGTCAAAGGAGTTTTGCTTTTTGTAATTCGTTAATGTATTCATGTTGAGGACTGGTCAAATAACGCTCATATTTAGGCTAAATACGAATTTTATTAGATTAACACTGCATAGTATTATGGCATTTATGAACTCAGATTGTTTTCAGCTTTGTGTACGGCGGTGGGAATTTACAAGATCCACTAATGTAAAATTATCAGGAACACAGACGAATGTAGTGGGGAAAATTACATAAGGGTCTTATGGTCATCCTGCCTACGCAGAACCTACCGTTAAAAATTCTACTTAACGTCGTTAACATACAGTTCCGTCATCTGATTCCTCATTGATACCGTAAGTGAATCACGGGCATAACTGAAAGTTTGCCCGTAGAGATCACACTTGTTGTGAACAAATAGCACACGTGCGAGAAGTTCTATCAGTCACCATACGCGTATGTCACGCCCGTGTGCCCATAACTAACGCACCGACGGAGAGGGGTCTATATGTGGCCAACGGTTAAAAATTTAATACCTAGTACTGTAAATGGTATCCCATGCTTGAAAATCGAAAATATCATTTCATAAAAACATTAAAGTTTTTACCTTATGCACTTTCCATCAATCGTTCTTTTTTAAAAAAAAAAAAAAAAAAAAATGGTCTATATATTTTACTACTAATGACCCATAAATTTAGACGAACACTTCAATAAAGAGTGATTGGTTTCTTGTCGGTGATTGCCTTCTTAGCGATTCACCAAATGCGATGGTTGGGGTTTTAGACAACTGCATTGAATTTGAATTATAAAAAGATGAACAGAAATGTATAATAACTAAATCAAACTAAATCACTGGATCTAAATCTATAATCAAAATCTGAAAATCAAAAATAGAAACTTGAAAACTAATAAACAAAAACCAAAATCTAAAACCAAATCTAAAAAAAAACAGAAACTAAAATTCAATGCAGAACAATCATCACAAATATTTCGGATTACTGATTTTATACCAAAATATACTTTACATAAAGACAAAAACCAAATGTATAATTTTTTAATCATAAAAATTTTCCGCGCTTGAAAAGCACGGTTCCAAATTTAGTTTGAATTATAAAAAGATGAACAGAAATGTAAAATAAAAGAAAAGTTGTATATAATGAATGACATGGACAAAGTTCCATTAGGTCGCCACCCAAAACTTATCTTTTTCATTAATTTTTATAGAGTATTTGCACTCCATACACACACTAAACCTCATAATTCACTCCATACCCTATTTCTTCCTTTATCTCTCCTCCCTACACATTACTATTTTCCCCACCAAAAATGGCAAATCTCTAATTTCCCATTTTCTTATGGATTTCTACTCAATTCACTCATTTTTATAATGCCTATCAATTTTAAAATGTACTATTTTATATTGTAGCTTCTGCCCACTTGAGCGTAAGTCCAAAAACAGGAGTGAGCATTGTCATCGATTATCGGGTACATGCAAGGTCTTAAAGTCACAAACACGTATGTTTATATAATAATGCTATCTATGCCATTATGCATCACATGCTATGAGATTACGGGGGCTTCACATCTATGCAAGTATGCAAGTATCTAGGACTTGAACATGAGCGGATCTAGAAATTTATTTAATTTGGGGCACAAATTACACTTCTTTATAATTACTATAATTATTTTTGAAAATATAATATAATCATATAAAAGCTCAAAATTAAATTGTAAGTTTACAATCAACTAAAAACATAAGAAAAATATATATAATAAAAAAATGTATATTACTATAGATATTGGTTTTCAATTTAGCTTGACATTGTTTCTTAAAATATTGTGCTATATGTAAATAAAGAAAACTATATTAGTATTTCAAATACGGTAAACAATGAAAAGAAGTGAATAGTTTAATTGAAATCAAATATTATATGATGATAAATAATCTAAAAATGATAGATAATCTTCTGCAAAAAACATTTTTAAAAATTAATTTTTATGGATTTACCAATGTCCAATTGTTAAGCCATACTCCGTCTAAAGATTTTTGTGCTACTTAATAAAAATAAGAAAACTTCTTCTGTCCGCAGATTTTTTTTTTTCAAAAGAGAATAGACTCATGATTAATAAACATACAACGAAAAAAGATTGGGTTATTTTGAGTAAAAAATATATGGGATAAATACTTAAGATATTATATATTTTGAATCGGTTTATATATGTTATATTGTCTTAGTTCTAATTGGGCTGGATCACATTCATATTTTTCTTAGTAATTGGGTAAAAAACAGTTTTGTTTTTGATTGGGTGGGGTACTTTTGTATTTTTGACTCTTTAACTTAACTAAAAATAAGATTTATCTTACTTCTAAAAAGGGGGAAAAGTGTGTGGAGAACATAAAGATTATACTCTTTACTATTCAATCAAATATTAATCAAAGCAGCATTTAGAAAAGTATTTACCAAATACTAATGTTTTCTAAATACTCTTTGCTCGATGTTTTCATATAGAGCTTTTGAGAGAGCATTTGCAATTTAAATATATAAAACTTCAAAAATAATTATATATAATAAATTTATTTTTATTTAATAATATTAAAAATATTTTATGATAAAAATACATTTTATTTTAAGTTTTTTGAAAGAACAATATTTCATATTTAAAATACAATATAATTTATATAATTACACATATTATTCATTATTTTTAATAAGAAACATAACATAATATATATTTATATATGGGCAACTCTCTAATAGATTTTTTTTTAAAATTTTTTTATCACAAAATAGACCCCGGAATTTAAAATGGCCAAAATAACTTTTTTTTATTTGAAAATTTTATGTTTTTTCTTATTTTTAAAAATTTGAAATTCTATCCCCAAAACCCCATTCCTCAACTCTAAACAAAAAAGTCTTGGATTAGTTAACGCAAAGGGTATAAGTGTATATTATTATCTTTGATAAAACATTAAATTCTAGTTTGGTCATTTTAATTTATAAGGTCTATATTTGTGATAAAAAAAAACTTTTTTAGTTATATACTAGAGAATTTTTCTTTATATATTATAGAATAAACATATCTATACTATTTAGACACTAATAATTAATTATATATGATATATTGTTTTTATGATAATTTTATATATGAATCATTTACTGCTTTACCAATAAGTAAATAATTATAATTTATATATAATTTATATATAATTTATTTATAATTTATTTATTCATTTAATATATTAAAAATAATGTTTATATCCAAAATAGTTTAATATTTTGAAAATAAAATTTACATTTTTTAAATAATAATATTTCACATATAAACTATAATATAATTTATATATGAATAAGATTCATTATTTTTAATGACAAATATATTTTTAATATATATTTAAATATATTAATTTTATTTTAAAATAAATAAATATATTATGAGATCATATAGTATTATACTAACTATTATGATAATTTTAAATTGTATATTTTTACTCATTTGCCAATCACTTTATTAAAAACATTAATGCAAACATACAATTTCTACAACGTACCATTACTGCTTTATCATCTAATATATCAATCAAGGCCTAAGTTATACCTTTACTCTCCTTGAATGAAGACTGAACCATTTTTTAAGTTAGATTGATTTACAACTTAAAATCAATTGGTAGTAAGAATCTCTTCCATTAGTTAGGATCCCTTCCAATTTTTTGACGTGGAATATTTGATTCTAGTATGCTCCTTCGTAATGATGATTTTTTAAGTGTTAATCTCAGAATATTTAGCTAAAGGATCGAATGACCAACTTTGGAGTAGATTGATAATAGTTCGGATTTGACTACGTGGATTGGATTCTTATACCATGTTAAGTTATATTCACTTCCAACCTAAAATCAATTAGCTATAAATGGTTGATTAATCTATCTTATATATTATTTAAATATTTTCCAACTTCCGATGGAATATTTATCCCTAATACCACCCACATTAATCAGAACTAAGATTGTTTCATGATGTTTTGAAACAAAAACAAAGATGGAAACTAAATAGAAATTAATGGTTTATAGACATTATCGACCCATAATTTTAGGTGATACAATAAAAGAAAATGATCTTTTTAAAAAGACAATACTTGGGTTAACGCCATGTGATATACCATGATTTTAACCCATTTTTAGCCATGGTATTGATGTGTTTTTATAAGTTTTATATATGTTTTGGAGTCTATTAGGTATGTTTTCAGGTTCAGAAGCATTTTGGAGTAAACTGATGATTTAGGTGCCCTTTTGGAGCTTAAAGGAGAGTTTTCCGAGATGACTATGAAGATCAGACTACAATGATACATATCGATCGATACACACCCTGTGTAATCGATCGATGACGCTTCCTAGAAGATGAAATCGAGATACTCCATCGATCGACGAACACCATG